TTATTACTCATCCATAAAAAGGAACAAAATGGGGTCATTTGTAGAGACATAGATGGACCTAGAGACGGTCATACAGAATTAAGTTAGTCAGAAAGAGAAGAAACAAACACCGTATACTAGCACATATGTGTGGTATCTGAAAAAATGGGTATAGATGATCTTGTTTACAAAGCAGAAATAGAGACACAGATGTAGAGAACAAACCTGTGGCTACGGAGTGGGGAAAGGGGAGTTAGCTGGCTCGGGAGATTGGGGCTGACACACCAGTGATACTAGGAGCATGGGCGTGCGCTCACTCTGTCAGTCATCCGTACTCTTTGTGACCCCATGGAATCTAGCGCACCAGGCTCCATTGCCCATGAAATTTGCCAGGTAAGAACACTGGGGTGGGTTGCCATTCCTCCTCCAGGGCATCTTCCTGACCCAGCGATGGAACCCGCGTCTCCTGCATTGCAGGTGGATTCTTTACTGCTGAGCCATTGAGGAATTCCCTGTAAAACACAGGGAATTCTACTCAATGCTCTGTGTTGACCTTAATGGGAAGTAAATCCAAAAAGAGAGGATATATATATCCATATAGCTGATTCGTTTTGCTGTACCGCAGAAACTAACACAATATTTTAAAGCAATTATACTCCAATAAAAAATTAAAAAGAGAAAAAAAAAAACATTCATTGCATGTTTGCTGCAGGCCAGGCCAGGTCAGACAGACACCGACCCCTCACTCTGATCTTTTTGGGTGGCAAGAAAAAGGAAAAAAGAACAAATAGAGACCCTCTGGGATTGCAGGTTGGGGTGTAAGGCAGGATAATGATGTGACCCCCTTCTGGTTCCTCTGATGCTGAGTGTCCATGAGACATGGGTGATGAACACCCCATTTTCAGCTGTGAGGACTGGAGAAGGGCAGGGGCTTGAACACAGTGGAATCTGCCCCCAGTTCCAGGGCTGTGCTCTAGCCTCTGATTTCCCCCAATCCCTGCCCTGTGTGCCCCCAGCCTGGCCCCATTCATCTTTGCTCCTGTTCTCAGCTCTGTGCCAAGAAATGGCCTTGCTCCCTGGCCCCTGGACCCCCTCATAAAATTGAACCCCTCAGGGCATGGCAGATCAACTTCCAATGATGGAGGAGGGGAGGAGGCAGTGGGGACAGAAGGATGGGGCCTCCGAGCCATCGAGGCGTGCAGCCCTGGACTTTGTCTCTCTGGGCCTCTGGGTGGAGTAGCCAGAGTTAGTAATTAGCCACCAGCTGGGCCCTGGGACCAGCTCACCATCCCTCTGTGGGCCTCTCTTCCCCATCTTTTCCCCACCTGGTCCCCACCCAGGTCTGGCACAAGGAAGATGCTAAGTGAATGGCTGAGAATGACAAGCCACCCCCTGTGGATTCTGCTCCCTGTTTCAGTATCCTTTAAAACATTTAAGCACTTATTAAGTACCTACTGTGTACTTTACAGGGCTTCCCAGGTGGCACAGTGGCAAAGAATCTGCCTGCTAGCACAGGAGATGTAGGAGACATGGGTTCGATCCCTGGGTTAGGAAGATCCCTTGGAGGAGGAAATGGCAACCTACTCCAGTGTTCTTGTCTGGAGAATCCCATGGATAGAGGAGCCTGGCAGGCCACAGTCCATAGGGTCCCAAAGAGTTGGACACAATTGAGTGCATGAGCAGGCATACATGTGTACTTTACGGCTACCACCTCCTTGGACACCTCTTATTTTGGCAGCTTTATGAAGGTGTAATTTACATGCCACGAACCACCTGTGTTTAAAATGTACATCTTGATGAGTTTTGTTATATGTCCACCCCCATGTAACCACCGGCACAAGCAAGATAGTGAACAGGGGGCATGGGTTCAATTCTTGGTCTGGGAACTAAGATTCCATATGCTGCATGGCGCGGTCAAAAAAAAAAAAGAAAAGAAAAGAACCCAACTATTTCTCCCTTCAGTACTTACTGAACACCTACTGTGTACCAGGTTTGGGTCTAGAAGCAGCAGTGATCAAAGCAGAGATGCCCTATAGTCTGGTGGGAAGAAGAGAGGAAAGGAAGAGAAAAAATGATTTCACCCGGGAGAAGGGCTCTAGGGAGCCCAGCAGAGTGGTGCTGGGTGGGGATGGCATTGGAAAGTGTGATCAGGGAAGGCCTGGCCCAACTGCCTTCCCTGGAGGAGGGGACAATGGAGCCAAGGCGCCTGGAACCAAGTTTTTGTTCGGGTTCCCTGGTTGTTGGGTCTTTGTTCAAGTGGAGCTTTCCTCTATTTCGGGGATGAGGGGGTACCCTGGGGGCCCCTACCCTCGCTGCGTGTCCAGCAGGGGTGCCCCCAAGATGAACATCTCAAAGAATCAACCTTTCCTCAGTCCCAATCAACTAATAAATGGAGACTTTGACCTTCCTCTCTCCCATTATCTCAAGACAGGCGAGCCCAGTGCGTCAAGGTACAGCTTGGAAGGTGTGTGATGGGATCGGGGCAGGGCCAGGTGGGGAGAGGGTGGGGGTTCTGGCCAGGTCAGGGCTGGGACAGGTGTCCTCATCAGGCACCCATGCAGAAGGGTACCTCGGGTTCCTCATTTGTGAAATGGGTCTCCACTTCGGGCATTCCCCCCTCCCCTTTTCAATCATTCAAAACACATGGATCAAAAATGGCTACAATTTTACATTACATTATGATATGCAGTGGGATGGCCCTCCAGGTTCCTGTGTTCATGGGATTTCCCAGGCAAGAATACTGGAGTGGGTAGCCGTTCCCTTCTCCAGGGGATCTTTCCAACCCAGGGATCAAACCTGGGTCTCCTGCATTGCAGGTGAATTCTTTACCGCCTGAGCCTCCAGGAAAGCCCAAAGGGGTTACAGGGTGAAACCAAATAAGAGCAAACCTTACAAAAAGGCATATCCTAATATGCATATATGGCAGTGAAAATAAGTCCCTTTTTGAAACTAACCTTAAAAACCTCTAGCGGGACTTCCCTGACGCTCAAGTTACTAAGGTTCTGAGCTCCCAATGCAGGCGGTTGTGATTTTGATCCCTGGTCAGGGAACTAGATCCCACATGCTACAACTAAGAGTTTGCATGCCTCAACTGAAAAAAAAAAAAAAATGGAGACGATCCTGCACACCGCAACTTAAAAACCTGCGTGCTTTGATGAAGACTGAACATCTCACTTGCTGCAACTAAGACCTGGTGCAGCCAAAAAAACAAAAACCTATAGGAGGGTGAGACACACTGGCACAGCCACCTTAGAGTAAAGGTAGCATTTGAGAAGCAGTTGCAGTGTAGCACCCAGTTTTGAGGGAGTTCATTTGCATTGATCAGTTAGTAGTCCTAACTGAATGCCAATTGTTTGCTGAATATTGTTAAGAAAAAAAGAAACTCTGTCAGATAAAAAACATGTGAGAGCTGCCAGTGTCTTTATTTATAGTATTTTTGTTTGTTTATGAATTTTTTTTTAACAATTCCAAGAGTGAATTTTTCTATCTGATGCTTTAACTATGTCTTTCCCATTTGGGTGATTTCCAGATCCCTGTTGCTGATAGCAATGTCATATTTAATTTGAATCTCATTATTTTATTTTTCAATTTATTCACATCCTTTTTTTCTTTCTAATTACCTATTAGCCTGATACATAGTAGATGTTCAATAAATGAGAATAAATAAGCTAAAAAAAAACATGGGTTGTGCACCTACTGTGAGTTTAGACCCCGTCCTAGGTCTCTTTTCCAAAGATACCAGATAGTGAATATTTTAGTGATGCTGCAAAAACTCAACTCTGCCCTGGTGCAGGGTGAAAGCTGCCAACCTCCATAAATGAATGGGTGTGGCAATGCTCCCATAAAAATCAATCCTGCAGTACTTGGTTTACAGTAGGTGCTTCATTAATGCTTGCTCCCTGGAATTGTCTGGAATACAGCATGTAACTCACTAATGCCTGATACACAGCAAGTGTTGCATTAATGCATGGTGTGTGCCTAGCTTACAGTAGGCATCACACTGTTTTCTGCCTGGTAATCCTTAGTTACACAGTTGCTGTTCAGTCTTGTCTGGCTTTTTGCGACCCCATGGACTGCAGCAAGCTACACAGTAGACACTACATGAAAAGCTGGTCCATGCCTGGTATACAGTAGGTACTGCATAAATGGCTGGTAAATGCCTAGTATACAGCGGGTACTCCATTAATGCTCGCTCCATACCTGGCATATTAGCAGGCTCTGTATTAATGCTAAGCCCAAGCCTGGTATACAGGAGGCGTTCCATTAGTGCTTGTTCCAAGAACTGATGAGAGGAAGTTTTGTTTCCGGTCAGGCAATGCCAGGGCGCCCCTGGAGGCCGTGAGGTCTGGTATCCGAGAGTCTCACGTGGGGCCTGGGTCGCTCAGCCCTGCGACCGAAGCAATGGGTCGGAGCCCCCTGCTCCCGGGCACAGCTGGCCGCCGGTCGGAGCGGGGCCGAGCGGGGCCGAGCGGAGCCGAGCGCAGATGAGCCGGCCAGCCGAGTCGGCCAAGCCGAGTCCTCCACATTCCCAGAATCCCGGGCGGCCCCGCCCAGCTCCCGGGTGCGCGTCCCCCTTCCCACGTCGGCGCAACCTAACCCGCGGGCGCGCCCGCCTCGCCCCGCCTCTCCCCGCCCGCGCGACGCCCCGCCCAGCCCGACCGCTAGTCCCACCTTCGCGGCGGGCGCGCGGGCCGCCGCCCACTCCCATTGGCCGCACCGGCCGCCCGTCGGCGCTGTCCGCTGGCGGGTTAGGTTGTGAGGCGCTGTCGCTCGGTCGCGGCGGCTGCGGTTGGCGGCGGCGGCGGCGGCGGCGGCAGTGGCGGTGGCGGCGCGGGTGGAGGGCGCCCGGGCGGGATCAGCGGCCGAAGGGGACCGGCGCTCGGAGGCGGCCGAGGCGGACCTCCGGCCCGGGGGCCGAGCGCCGAGGGCCGGGCGGGCGCGGCCGGGGCGGCTCGGGACCAGGGCCGGGCCGGCCGGGGGGCGGCGGCGGGGGCGGCCGGCGAGCGGCCGGGGCCGGGACGATGACTCTGGAGTCCATGATGGCGTGTTGCCTGAGCGATGAGGTGAAGGAGTCCAAGCGGATCAACGCCGAGATCGAGAAGCAGCTGCGGCGGGACAAGCGCGACGCCCGGCGTGAGCTCAAGCTGCTGCTGCTCGGTGAGTGGGGCCGGGGCCTGCGGGGTCCCGGCCGGCTATGCGCGTGCAGGCGGGCGGGCGGGGCGGCCCTGCGTGCTGTCTAGGGCGGGGTCGACCCCCGCGGGGTCAGCGTCTACCCACCTGTGCTGTCCTCTGCAGGGCCCGGGTCTGGGGTCGGCCCCTACCTTCCTGTGCTGTGCGCTGCGGGCCCAGGTCTGGGGTCAGCGCCCACCCACCTGTGCTTTCTGCTGCGGGCCCGGGTCTGGGGTCATCGTCTGGCCACCTGTGCTGTCCGCTGCGATCCCGGATCTGGGGTCAGTGCCTATTCACCTGTGATGTCTGCTATGGGCCGGGTCTGGGGTCAGCGCCTACCCACCTGTGCTTTCTGCTGCGGGTCCGGGCCTGGCGTCAGCGCCTACCCACCTGTGCTGTCTGCTGCAGGGCCCGAGTCTGGGGTCAGACCCTGCTTACCTGTGCTGTCTGTCTCTGGGCCACCCCATCCTTGTCACATGTGCTGTCTAGTTGAGCCCCTGCCGTCAGAGGGGCCTGCCTCTGCCTCTCCTGTCCACATCAACGCCCTGGACCCTCGGAGTGTCCCCGTGCCAGCGCTGCCCATGGCAGGTCCCCAGTCCCTGCAGGGCCAGCCCCTGCCTCAGCTGCCCAGCTGGGGTCCCTTGGGCCCTTTGGGATCAGTTTTGTCTTGGCTGTCCACCCCCAATCTCTGCAGGGACAGCTTCTGCTTCCAGGTCCGGCCCCCAGAACCCTCGAGGGTCTGCCCTCTGCCCCTTCTCATGAGACCAGCCCCCTCCCTGCACTGGGCTGGCCCCTGTCCCTACCCTGCCAGGTGTGCCCCTTGGCTGACCCTAGCATCTGTTTGGGACCAGACCTTTGGGCTGTAATCCATCAGACGCACCCTTGCTTCCTGGGATCCCTTCTCGACTCTTCCCACCAGGTGGAGCCCTGTTCCCTGCACACAGGGCCTGTCCCCCCTCCACACACACACACACCACCATCCCCTCCCCCTTTCTCTCAGGTGGGTCCCCACCTCCCTTCCCTCTGCCGGGAAGACCTGTATCCCTTCCTTTCCCAGTGGAGTATAGCCCGTGGGGGAGAAGACAGCCTTTCCTCTCTTCTTGGGGCCGGGGTGGGTGGAGCCCTGAAGGAACCTGGGCAGCTTTTCAGAACTGGCCGACTCCTTGACCCCTCTCCTTAGTCTTAGTGGGATCCTAGGTCCTCCTCCCCATCCTGAGGGAGACCCCTCTCCCAGTCTCCGTCTCCCCACGGCTCACCTGTTGCAGGGAGCCGGTCGGCCTGGCAGTTGGCACCCCAAATAAGGGCTGTTGGAGGACTTACCTCCGCAGTCAAAGGTAAGAAGTGGCACCTGTGAAGACAGCATGGTGCCAGCTGGCTTTTGTCAGTAGGGCTAGACTTTATTCAGAGGTTTGGAAGTTAGGTCACATTAATGTTACCAGGCAGAGGGCCTTACTTGGGGGCTGCGTGAGCTTCCGCCTGCCCTGGGCGCACCCAGGCTCTGAACTGACCTGGGGTTCCAGGATGTGGGTTGGCGGCCTATACTCCTGCACCTTCGCTGGGCTTGGGCCAAGGAGCCTGGCAGCGGATCAGAGTGTGTCCAGGGTCAGGACGGGGTGTCTGCACCCGCCCAGGAAGCTGTTAAGTCCTAGGCACGGGGGCAGATAGGAAGATGAGTGCTTGCAGGTCCAAGGTGAAGGTTAATGACCCCAGGAGGGCGGCTGTAAATGCGGGGCAGAAGTCCAGGGAACGTGCTGCGAGGGGTGGGGTGGGGGGTGGTGATGCTGAACAGCAGCCCCGCCCACTCGACACCAGGAGCCCCCCAGGTCCTGACAACCACAGACGTCCCTGGTTGTGGCCCCGTGTCCCCGAAGAGCAGGGTCACCCCCATTTGTGTTATTGGAATCAGCTCTGCACTGTGTCAGTACACAGAGTACAGTGTGTGTGACAGAGCCGGTGGTGATCGGTGTAGGTTGTTTTGTCATGTGTCTGGATGCTTAAAAAGTGACTGTTCTTGTTTGTATGGTCCCAAGCCACATATATGCTTGCACTCAACACTCAGTATGTCTGCGAATGTGGGTGATGATTCAGTTTGGTTTGTCTCGTTACTCCTGGCTGCGTCCTTGTGGACAGTGGTCTGTCGTGGGGAACAGGTGACCCCCAGGTGGGGGGGACACTGCAGAGGGTAGACCAAGGGCCCCATGGCTCACCGTCGCTCTCCTGCTTTGCCCGAGAGACCCCAAGCCCAGGTAGAAGCTTCTGGCGGGGGTCCCAGGCAGGCTGGTCAGCTTTCACTTCCTGGGACCCCTCTTGGGGCAAGTACGGAGACCCATGGAAGAGACCCCTTAGGGCAGATTTCTGCTCCTCAGAGCAGGTTTCCCTAGAGAGCTGAGGCCTGCCACGGGAAGCGCCGCTCTGGGAGCTGAGCAACAGAGCGGCTCGGGGATTTCTAAATAAAGCAGGGCGGTCAGTTCCACAGGCTTCCTGTCCGGTCAGCGGTGGTGGAAAGGCCCGGAATCCGGCCTGGGGTGTGGTGGCCCCAGCGGGAAGGGTGTGCCTGCCCCGCTTTGAGGCACGAGTGGAACGTGGCCGTGGCAGTTGGCGGTGGCCTTGCGTGTCCTCCATGGACCCTGAGAGCTGGACGCCTCTGGGGCCTCTGGGCCACCCCTTGTGGCCCTCTCTCACAACCCACCCCAGAGTGTGTTTTAGGGGCTTAAGAGCTAGGTAGGCGCCGTCCCTGGAGGTGCGGGAGCCTGGACCCATGTTCAGGACACCTCTCCCTCTGTGTCTTGTGTGCTGCGTGGGAGGGAGGGACTCTCCCTTCCCAGGGCCCCCAGACTGTCTCCAGGTTTGTCCCTGGGCCCTGACTCCTGTACACAGATGTGTCCCAGTCTCCAGGAGCCTCGGCTGAGCTGCTGAGAGCCCCGAGGAAGTGGTCCATTTGGATGTTTAACCGTAGGAGGTTTCACTTTCTGATTTTTGTGGTGGAGCCCTGCTCCCTGCAGGTCGTGGTCACTGCTGCTCCGGAGCTGGGGGCTGGGCGTTTGGAAGCGGCTGCAGTGGGGACCCCTGGCAGGAGGGAGGGGAGCCCACTTGTCCCTCTTCTGCCCCACGTGGTCTTGGGGGCAAAGTCCAGCCCTAGGTGGGTGGGTCTGGTCTGGGCTGAGCCTGGACGTGTGTGCGGAGCCCAGGGCAGTTGTGTGTCTGGTCCTCGAAGGGCTCCTCTCCTATCAGGACAGGGAGCCATGGGCCTGTTGGCCTGGTGTCCATGGTGGGACACCATGGTGTCCGTGGCGTCTCCGTGGGCTTTGGGGGTGCCCACGTGCAGGGGTATTTTTCTGGTGAAACTCCAGCTACTCAGCACTGGGACCCCGGCCTCAGGCTTGCCGGCTGCAGGAGTTTGTGCCCCATGCCCTGGCCCCTCTGTCTCCCAGGTGGCCGCGGCCTCTCCTCTGTAGGGCACCTGGCCAGTCACTGCCAAGGTGTCCCCATTGTTCCCCTCACAACGTGCCCCCTCTAGGCGCCGCCACCCCTCAGCCAGCACAGAGCCCTGCAAGCCTCTGAGACGTTTGCTGGGTGACTTTGCTCAATTGAACACAGTTCCTCCAGGCAGGTGGAATGGGGATGACTAGGTGCCCCAACTTGGGCATCCTCACATCTCTCCTGTATGTGAGGCTTCCTGCTCAGAGGCCTGTGGCCAGTGCCGGTGGCCCTCTGCTCCGGGGCCTGGACAGACGGTGACTCAGGACAGCCCACAGTTCCTACCTGCCTGAGGCCTCCTGCTAGTGGGCATGGAGGGCCTCCTGCCGTAGCGCTGTCTGTTGGGGGTTAAGGCTGTGATGCCTGCGAGGTGTTTGGTGCACAGTGGTGCTTAGCCAGTGTTAGGTGCTGTCTCCTTCTTACCTGATGCTTTGCCCAAGTTCTGCTGGGAGGGGGTTTTGGTCCCTGGTGCATCCTGAGTCTCCATTTCTCTTCTGTGAAAAGACAGCGTCCCACTGATTCCAGGGCTATGGGTGGCATGGGTCAGGTGGAGTGATATGTCAGATGGGAAGCACCCTCCTCACCCATTTCCATTCACAGTGTTGCACTGGCCGGTGTCCTGCTGCCGCTATGCAGGCCTCCCTGTCCCTCAGTGAGGTCTCTGGAGCTTGGCCCTCAGAGCCAGGGCCTGTTCTGATCCCAGCCCCCACCATAGAGGTTTGCTCATGGACCTTGATCAGGCCCAGAGCAGGAAGGTCAGAGCCCTCACGGAGGCTGAGGAGGGGGAAGTTTGAATGGGAGGTGGGTCACCCCATCTCTCCTGAGCCTCAGTGGGTAGGCGGAGTGGGGGGACTCACAGCAGGTCTCCTGACGCCTGAGAGTCAGACTTCAGGGAGGGCTCCTTTGGGACCCAGCATGTGGGGATGAGTAGGGCTGGCCCGGAGGGGTCTGGTGTCCTGCGCCTGGAGCCACCTGGACAGGACGAGGCTCTGCCGGCTTAGCAGCCACCGTGTGGAAGGCAGATAAAGGGGTGAGTCCCGAGGCCCATCCCACGTCCTCCCTCTGGCCCTTGTCTGCCTCGAACCCACTGCTGTGGTATCTTCAAGGCCCTGCGAGTGTCCCCCTGGTGCTCCTGCATTCTCTCACTTCCCTGGGTGGCCAACACACGGACCATGGGGAGACAGACAGACATGAAGTTGGAAGCGCTGAGCCTGCTGAGGTCTGACAGTTACCAGTTGTGTGACCTCAGTGAAGCTGCGTGACCTCTTTATGCCTCAGCCTGCTCACCTGTCCAGTGGGAGGTGGGGTGATAGACCTACCAGTGAATGAATGAATGAATAGGCCAGTGGGGGCAAGGGGAGCGTGCAGGCACTGTCCTCGACTACATATACGAGGAGTCTGTGCTTTCTTTGTCCTGGCATGCGATTGGAGTCCTTCTTTGATCTTAGACCTGTTGACACAGGATTTCTGGTTGTGTCTTCAGGAGCCCAGATATCCGGTGGTGTTCTCACCAGGGCTTCTGGGCTCCTGTGGTCCTGGGCTTCCTGGCTTCACTGCCCATGTCCAGGGGTGAGGGACGGCCAGGCAGCAGCCCTGAACCCCAGCTTCTGACGCTGATATTCTCTTGCTGGATGGTGGCTACCTGCTGCACACCAGAGGCCCTGGGGATGAGGTCAGCCCAGCACCTCCCTTCTGCCCTCCAGGCCCCGGCCCTGCCCCCAGCTTTCCCATATCAGATTGGCGGCTGCGGGCTCAGACCCACTTCCTCCTAATCCGAGGTCTTAGATCTTGGCCGACCTGGCAGACAGACTGTGGCTTTCTGCCTCCCTTGTAGGACAGGCTGCTCTTCTTCCTCTTCTGCAGGCACTCTTGCTAGGCAGCTGGTGATGCTGCTGAGCGCCCAGAGCTCTGGGCCCGCTGCATCAGGCTGACCCTGTCAGGCCCCACAGCCAGGACCTCCCTCACCTGGGCTGACCTGTTCTTGGGGTAACCACTGGGGATGCAGAGGACCCGGGGCAGGGTCGGAGGGGTCGGGGGGCATGTGAAAGAGCCGAGACCGCGGGTGGGGCCAAGTTCTTTTGGTTCATTCAGGGAAAATGTGTGTGGTGCCTTCTGTGGGCCAGGCCTGGGCTGGGGCCTGGGGTGCAGGGCTGCAGGCAGACCCCTGCTTTCAGGGAGCCGGCTTGAGCTGGTGGGATGCTGGGGGTGCTGGAGTGCTTCTTGGAAAACATGAATTGGGGTTTCTGTGCAGAGCTGGGGCAGTGTTTGGGCAGGGGGCTGCGCGATGGGTGGTCGAGTCCTCATGCAAGGTCGGGCCTGTCCTGCTGGCGGGGCCAGGGACCCACAGACGCAAGCCTGGGGTCTGAGCGTGGCCAGGACAGGAGGGCTGTGGCCATGGGTGCCCTGTGCATCCCCTGTGCGGGGGTGGGGCTGGAACGAGGCCAGCACAGGTTCTCCACGGTCTTGCTTGTGGGGCCTTGCTCTTCCCCCTGCAGGCAGCCGTTGAAGGGTTTTGAGCTGAAGGGCACAAGTGACCAGATCTTCTGGAGGGACTGACGAAGAGCTGGGGTGAGCTGGAGCTGCCTGGGACCCCTGGCCATCAGCCACAGCAGACGGGTCCAGCTGTGAGGGCCAGGCAGGCCTTGAGCCCAGAGACTTCTTTGTGCAGATAGACGTTGGGTCCTGTGCGCTGGGGCTTGGCTGTTGGCAGCACATGGGCTGAGTTGGCCCAGGAGACGGGCATCTGGAGGGGACACCCAGACCCTTTCCTGTCTCCCCCTCCCGGGCACAGTTGTGGCCAAGCTCAGGCCTGTGGGCTCCTGCCTCTCGCACTGCTGCCTTGCTGTGGAGGCTCCCGCAGGGGCTGGCCCCGAGCACGGCTGACACAACCCTTCACTGGTGGGGCCCTGGGGGCCTGGCCTCTATGGCCACCACCTCCCCCCGCCCTCTTGCCTTTCTCTGTTCTTCCTGGCAAAGTGACATTGCCTGGATGGGGTCACTGACCATCCCACGTCGCACTCTGTTCCCGGGGTGTCCCTTTTGCTGTGTTCCACCTGGTTTAATTGAGATGCACCCTGAGCTGTGTGGTGTAAGGGGGGACACATGAAGACTTGGCGCAGGCATTGTGACATGACCGCCAGTCGAGGCCATCTCACCCTGTCACCTCACCAGTGCCTTTTGCTCCTGGCCTGGATCACGACTCTGTCTTCACAGCGGCTCCTCTGCGCTGGCAGGGTTTGGGCCACGTGCCTTGTCCAGGACCCCCATGTCTACAGGGTTGATTGTGCTTCCAGCTTCCTTGGGGCCCATCTTGCATTTCTCTGTTGGGGCGTGTCCCGTGGGCGGTGTCTGTGTGGGGCCCTCAGCCGTCCCCGTTGTTCCTGGCCACTCTCTGGCCTGCATTCAGGGCTTCTTAGTGGTCACTCCCTGCCCGCGGTCCCTGGCTGTGGGTGCAGGCCGTGTGCTGGTGTGTGTGACCCTTGGTGCTTGGCACCACCCTTAGGGGGCGCTGTGGGGGCTGCACACCCCTTTGGCGCCAGTTCTGAAGATGCTGGCTGTGTCTGCCTCGGGGGCAGCTCTCTCTGGTCTCCTGGCGCCCTCGCACTCAACGTGGCTCACTTGCCTGTCCTGCAATTGAGGGGGCTCCACACCAGGGGCCCCCCTCTCCACCTCAGCTGACCTGCGGCCTGCAGGGCTTGGGCTTGAGTGGCCACCGTCTGGTGTTTCCAGTGAGAAACCCTTCCAGACGGCCAGCAGGGCATGTGTCTTTTTACAGAAGAATTTTATCAGAACCAGTGGTTCTTACTCTGGCGATCCTGCCCCCAGAGGACCTTGGGCCCTGTCGGGGAACATCTGTGGTGGTTTCACTGAGGGTGGGGGCATCAAGAGGGTGGGGGCAAGGAGACTGCTCCATGGCCCATAGAACCTGTGATGAGCCCGATGGCAGCAGTCTTGGGAGGACCCTGGTCCAGGAGAGACAGCGCTGGACATGTACTCCTGTGTGCCACCACCTCCTGTCCATCCCCACCCTACCCTGTGCAGTGAGGGTTCGTGGATCTCTCAGGAAGGTGTGGGGTCATCCCCTCCTGCTCCAGAACTGGGGGACCTTCGTGGGAATGGGCGACTGGCCCTGGTTGGTGTTGTGCAGAGATAGGAAGGAAGGGGTGGCATAGGGGTAGTCACAACTTGGTGACAGAACCAGAGTTGGGTTTGTTTATTACAAACCCAAGGACCGAGGGCCTTGATGGATATCCTAGAAGGGGCGGCCACCTGAGGCTCCTGCTTTGTCCAGCTTGAGACTCGGATCTTCCCAGGGGACCTCCTGCAGTCAGATACTCAAACACAGGTGGAGGGCCTCCTGCTGCAGGACAGCATGGTCACTGCAGGGCGCTCAGAACCTGTCTCTTCTCCAGGAACCCCCCTGAGCAAGGAGGCGGGCAGCAGATACCTGAGAGAGACCCCCGCAGCATGGTGATAGGTCCCAGTGCAAGGGGGCTCCTGCCCCCTGCCCGTGGCACAGGTGGCTGTGAGCTCCACAGTGTATGGGGAGCATGCAGCCCAGGCCCCCGAGTCGGGGTGGGGGGCACAGGCCACTCAGACAGGGTGAGGAGGATGAGGCTGGGCAGGTGGGCAGGTGGGTGAGTCTGGGGATTCTGAGTCCCCAAAAGGGGGCCCTGGGCTTTCGGTCGATGGGTGAGTGGGACCTGCATTTGTTACCACATAGGGATTGAGGCTCTTGCCTGGAGAATCCCAGGGATGGGGGAGCCTGGTGGGCTGATGTCTGTGGGGTCACACAGAGTCGGATACGATTGAAGTGACTTAGCAGCAGCAGCAGCAGCAGGGATTGAGGCGGTGCATCCTTAGGATGTAGCGTTCTCTCCTGCTGTGCAGTAAAATCACCCTGTAATTTAGTAGCTGAAAACCATAGGCAGGTTCTGAGGAGAGGGTTCGGGCATGGCCCCTCACGTGGCTCCTGTCTGTGTGGGCCCCCGCGAAGCTACCCCCGGCCCCTGAGAGAGTCCCAGAGAGACCAGGGAGCCCCTCACGTGGCTCCTGTCTGTGTGGGCCCCCGCGGAGCTACCCCCGGCCCCTGAGAGAGTCCCAGAGAGACCAGGGAGCCCCTCACGTGGCTCCTGTCTGTGTGGGCCCCCGCGGAGTTACCCCTGGCCCCTGAGAGAGTCCCAGAGAGACCAGGGAGCCCCTCACGTGGCTCCTGTCTGTGTGGGCCCCCGCGGAGCTACCCCCGGCCCCTGAGAGAGTCCCAGAGAGACCAGGGAGCCCAGTGCCTCCTCTGACTGTCTTGCAGTGCCAGGCTGTCCTTGGTCTGGTTCTGTGGGTTGGAAAGGGGATCAGTCTCCAGCTCTGCCTGGGAGGCATCACAGATTCCTGGACACATTGAAATGTAAAATTGCTGTGGCTGTATTTGGGGGTGAATGAAAGTGGGGAGATGTGTTTGTTGCTTAGAGGTAACAGGGCGGCAAGGGGAGTGCTGATGCCTGTGGGGCCGGGTGGGGTGGCGCAGGCACCCCGCGCACTGGGTGAGGAGGGGGAGGACAAAGAGGCCTCCGGGGCCCCTTTCAGGGGGGTCGCAGCTGACTCTGATCCCCAGATCTCGGAGCTGGAGCCTCTTCGTGCCCCTCCCTGAGGTGCACAGATGCCAAACTCAGGCCCCGAAGGAAAGCTGTTCTGGTTGGAAGTCGTGGAAGAGGAGCAGCTAGGGATTGGTGGGACGCTGCCAGACAAGGGTGCTTGGGACCTGGGAGTGAACCTGCAGCCACCCGCAGTTAAGCAGGCTGTGGCCTCTGGGAGAGGCACTTCACTGTTCCAGCATTTGGTTCCTCGGCTGCGGCCCGAGTTGAATTCAGACCCCAGTCGCTGCAGGTGCAGCTGCCACCCCCCTCCTGTCCCTGCCCACATTGTCGTCCTGACCTCCTTGGAGGCTCAGCTCCCTGGCTCCGGTGTAGACGTGGGTGTGCAGGGGAGGACGCCTGATTCTAGGGGCAGCAGCGGGCTGGGCCAGGCGTGTCCCCGCCTCGCCTCCACTTGGGTGGGGCTCCCCATGGGCGGGCACAGGGAACACAGGGCTGGGGTCTCACTGGGCCATTTGCAGGCACGGGAGAGAGCGGGAAGAGCACGTTCATCAAGCAGATGCGCATCATCCACGGGGCGGGCTACTCAGAGGAGGACAAGCGGGGCTTCACCAAACTGGTGTACCAGAACATCTTCACCGCCATGCAGGCCATGATCCGCGCCATGGAAACCCTGAAGATCCTCTACAAGTACGAGCAGAACAAGGTGAGGCCGGGGGCCGCTGCACATCCTGCAGCAGTTCACAGCCTGTCCTGCAGGCCTTCCACGTGCTGAATCAGACCCCCTGGGACCCCAGAGAGTGGCACTTCCTCTTACTTTCTTTTGTAACAGCTTTATTGAGAACATTTACGTATGAAGTTACCCACTTAAAGTGTGCATTTCACTCATTTTTAACATATTCATGGTGTGGTGCAACCATCATCTCTAATTCCAAAACATTCTTATCATACCAGAAAGACACCATGTCCCCATCAGCAGTCACCCCCCCCATCCTCCTGCCCCAGCCCTTGACAACCAGGAACCCACTCTCTGTGTCTGTGGATTGACCTGTTCTGGACGTTTCCCATCGGTGGAATCACACCCTGTGTATCGTTGTGTGAATGCTTTTCTCACTGAGCGTCATGTTCTCAGGGTCCGTCCACATGGTAGTGAGTGTCAGGGCTTCTCTTTGTGGCTGAGTCATGCTCTGTGTGTGGAGGGACCACAGTTGTTTATTCATCAGCCATCGAGGGACATGAGCTCTTGCGGACATGCCACTAGGACATTCGTGAGCAAGTTTCTGTTGGTGTGTGCATCCTTGTTCTCCTGGGTGTGTCCCCAGCAGTGGAGTGTGCAGTCCAGGGTCCCTGTTGGTCTGCACTCTGGAGCAGCTGCCCACCTGCTGTCCAAGTGGTGTTCTCCTAGTTGTGCATCACAGTGGGCTCTTGCTGGCCACCTCCCTTGGCTTTCCTTTTGTGGATCTGTTTTCAGGGGCTCCTCATTCACCCCCAGGAGTTGCCCAGGCTGACAGTGGCACCAGAGTCCACATATGTCTTATAGGGTTTATTTACATTAATCCCTTCACTTTGAGGCTTCAGACAGCTAGTTCACCAGATATTGTCATCTTCCTGCCTTGACTGCTGTCATCAGGGGCCCTAGAAGCCCAGTGATGGGTTGGGGGTCTGGCTGGCCTGGCTGTGGGCCAAGTGTGGGGATCTGCTGGAGGCTCTCGCCCTCTGATTTGTAAGATCGCTTCCACTTGAGGCCCCTCCAAGTCCACCTTTGATCATGAAGTTCAGCAGAGTCTGGAACAGGGATCAGCGGATAGAGGCCTGTCTCTGTAAATGGCAGCTTTCTCTGCACAGGCCATGCCTGCTCGCTTACCTGTCATCCATGGCAGGGACAGTGTGGCTGTAGGAACAGACCTCTGGTCCCTGATCTCCGTGCATCCAGGGTCAGGCAGGTTTCCTGGGGCTGGAGTTGCTTCTCCAAGCCCAGGCTGAGAAGTGGGAGGGGCTGAAGGACATGGCTGTAGGGGGAACTGGAGGCTGGGTACCACAACTGCTAGGGCAAGGGTTTGGGTTCCAGAGCCCAGGCTGGGGCCTCCTCACTCCCTGTTTGGAGTCTACCCCACTGTGTCTCCTCCCCAGCCACTCAACTGAGTGTGACTGGACCACCCTGAGCACAGGGCTGGGGGGGCGGCTCTCCTGAGCGCCTTCTGCCCCGTGTTGTGTGTGCACACCAGTGTGTACATGTGTGTGTGGTGTACACGTGTGGCTCTCTGGGCAGCGGTTCTTGAGGAGCGGGTCTCCAAGCCCTGTGCTCCAGGGTCTGTGTGGAGGCTCCATCCTAGAGGCGTGAGTCATCGGGCCACTTTGATGAACCCAGCCTCCCGTCTGTGGTGGGTGGCTCTGGCCCCCAGCCCTGTCCCAGCTGCACACAGAGTACCTAGCCCTTCAGAGACCTTGAGGGTTTCCAGAGCCCTGTGCCTGGAAATGGGGCAGATTCTTCCCAGGTCAGAGCAGCTCTCTGTCCTTCGTTTCCTCTCCTGTGACCTGGGAACGTGGGAGCTCTGTGGTATTTGTTCCTCCGTCCTGTTCAGAGCCTACTGTCCCCTCTTTTGGGGCACCTGGGCACTGAGGCATGTGGCATTCCTGCTCCTGGGAGCTGCTTCTGTCCTGAGTTTTGCTTTGGGGACCTGGCCCTGGGGAGCAGTCACTGCCTGTCACTTTGCTCTGCTTTGTGTTCACGGGAAATGGAAGTCGATGGTTCTGAGTTGGTCACTGGCGCTGTGTGTTGCCCCTGCTTACCCCTCCCCCTGCAGGCCAACGCTCTCCTGATCCGGGAGGTGGACGTGGAGAAGGTGACGACCTTCGAGCACCGGTACGTGAGCGCCATTAAGACCCTGTGGAACGACCCCGGCATCCAGGAGTGCTATGACCGCCGGCGCGAGTACCAGCTCTCGGACTCCGCCAAGTAGTGAGTGGGGCCGGGGCGTGCTGGGGGCCAGGGAGGGGGTGTGGGTGGGGGGTGTGAGTCCCAGCTCTTGGACCTCACCAGGCAGTGAGTGGGGCCGGGGCATGCTGACGGCCAGGGAGGGGGTGTGGGGGTGTTGGGGGGTTGGTGAGTCCCAGCCCTCGGACCTCACCAGGTAGTGAGTGGGACCAGGGCATGCTGGGGGCTGGGGAGGAGGGGTGGGGGTGTAGATGGCATGGGGGTGTGAGTCCCAGCTCTCCGACCTCACCAGGTAGTGAGTGGGGCTAGGGCAGTGCCTGGGGCCAGGGGAGGGGAGTGGACAAGGTGCTGGGTGATGCCGTCTACACACTGCTCTTCAGCTGGGACGTGGACGATTCACCCAGGGAGGCGGGCATCTGCGAGGGTTTTTGTTGTCTCTGCCCCTTTTGCTGTGTAGCTAAAACTGTTCCAAAGGAATAGGTCTGGCTTTGAAAAACTACCCCTCCAGCCCACAGTCTCTCTTGGTACCCCTGTTCCATCCCCAGCCCTGATAGCTGGCCCCCAGAGCCGATGGGGCTCTATCCCACGCCTTGCCTGCAGCCTCATTTTGTCCCTGTCCATTTTTGTCCCAGGTACTTGGGCTACTTCAGCCCTTCCCAGTCACTCAGAGGCCCAGGGCAGTGGGGAGGGACCCCAGGGGTGGTGGGAGGCCCCTCACAGCCAGCCTGAGCCCACCCCCTGCTGTGTTGTAGCTACCTGACGGACGTGGACCGCATTGCCACCTCAGGCTACCTGCCCACCCAGCAGGACGTGCTGCGGGTGCGCGTGCCCACCACGGGCATCATCGAGTATCCCTTCGACCTGGAAAACATCATCTTCAGGTGCCCGGGCCCCGGGGGGCACCAGCGAGGGGTTGTTATCTGGGGCTGTCCCCAGGTTTCCCAGGGAGCCAGGGCCTCATGGCGTTCAGGAGCTGCACGGAGGTGGCCTGGGGAGCATGACTTCAGATAGAGGAAGATGCGGGTCCCTGCAGGTGGGTGGGGGGTCTGGAATCCGGGCCAGAGCAGGGGTGCTCTGGGCAGCGTAGCGACCTGAAGGCCCCTCAGCAACCCTGTCCTGCAGGCTGTGCGGCCAGAGTGGACTCAGGGCTGTTCCTGAGGACAGGCCCTGCCACTCCATGAGATCATAGCTTGTCCAGAGCTGCCAAGCGGCAAAGCCAAGTTTGTCTCCTGGGACGGCCATAAGATGGGCACATGATGACCACAGATGGGCAACTTAAACCGTAGAAGTGCGTCTTCTCCCGGCTCTGCAGACCAGCTATCTGGGGTCCAGGTGGCAGCAGGGCTGGGACCCCCGAGGGCCTGGGCATCATCTGTCCCATCCCTGCTGTCTCTGGTGGCGCTGGCTGCCCGTGGCATTCCCTGGCTCACAGCCGCATCGCTCTGTCTCCCTGTCGTCGTCATGTGGCTCCTCCCGTGTCTGTGCCCACATTTCCCTCTTACGGTGACACCACCAGTCCCTGGGTTCAGGGCCTTGCTCTGGGGTGACTGTGTCCTAACCGGCGATGCCTGCAGGGACCCCACTCCCAGATTAGGCTGTACAACTGTAACCAGGGCCCAGGCTCTGGGTGGGGGTCTGCTCTGGCTGTGAGCCCTCCCTCCCCGCCCCCGCCTCACAGGGTCCCCTCTGCTGGGCGAGCCCACCCCAGGTGGGGGCCCAGAGACAGATGCTGGCAGATGCTGCCCTGCGCCTGGAAGTGCCAGCCGACTAGGTCAGGTTAGCCTTGAGGTGCCCTCTGGCTGGAGAGCCAACTCTGCCCCCTGGGACTCTACTGCTCAGGTAAAGGCTCCTGGGACAGGGAGAGAGCCTGGGGGCCCCCTGCCTGCCCCCCTCACCCTTTTTCACCCATCAGAGCCCCTGATAATTCCCTCAGGCCCTCAGAAGTTATAGGCATCACCCTACCCATGCCTGAGGGTACATTTTCTGGTGAGAGTTCAGCATTTTTGTCTCTCTCAGATTCTTGATAGAGTATGGGATGGCAGAGGTCCGCAGGGCACAGCCGGGGCCTGTCTGAGCCTCCTCCCAAACCCCACATCCCAGGTGTCCCTCACGCCGCCTCATTTTGGCCCCCACCCTGCACCTGCTGTGCCCTTTGTCTGGAGCTGCCTCCCGGCCTTTCCCCACCTTCTCAGGCCGCTATCCTTCTCACTGTCCACTTTAAAAGTAGTGTTCCTCGTCATAGAAAACTTAGGAAACTCAAAAGTAGGAAGAGAGACCTGTCAGCAATCACAGCATGTCCCCGTCCCCTCGCCCCGTCTCAGCGCTCGCCTTCGCCCTGCCCCGCTGGTGTCAGTGTCCCTGAGCCTCCGCAGAGAAGCAGCAGGCTGGCTCTTGCTGTGGCTGGGAATTCCAGTGCTTGATGGTCTCTGCTGCCCGTGACAGATGACTGAGGGGCGGGCTCCGATGCCATCAGGGGGTCCTCGTGGCCCCGGCTGATGCAGCCATCCTGAGGGAGGCAGGGTTTGCTGCGGGGGGCAGTGTCTTCTGCAACCCAGTACTGAGCCTGTGTGCCCCGCTGTGCAGGATGGTGGATGTTGGGGGCCAGAGGTCTGAGCGGAGGAAGTGGATTCACTGCTTTGAGAACGTGACGTCCATCATGTTCCTTGTGGCCCTTAGTGAGTACGACCAAGTGCTGGTGGAGTCGGACAATGAGGTGAGGCCCGCACTGAGCCTGGTGATGGGGGCCACAGGCCCTTTTGGGGGGCCTGATGCCAACCTACCACCCTCCCTGCAGAACCGCATGGAGGAGAGCAAGGCGCTGTTCCGGACCATCGTCACCTACCCCTGGTTCCAGAACTCATCCGTCATCCTCTTCCTCAACAAGAAGGACCTGCTGGAGGACAAGATCCTCCACTCCCACCTGGTGGACTACTTCCCGGAGTTCGACGGTGAGGCACCGCGCCGGCCATCCCTCACCCTCTCTGGGCCTAGGTGTCCTGGTCTGTGGCGCAGGGAGGGTGCTTCCAGAGGCCATAGGGAGGCCACAGCACAGTTAGTGTGGCTGAGCTTCGCGGGTGCCTCCTGGGACCCTGGAGGGTGGGAGACCTTGGTGTCCCCCAGGGGAGTGTCGTCTGTGGGAGGGGGTGCCTTGTGGTCACCGCTCGCTGGTGTGTCCCCTCCCTCCCTAGGCCTGGGCACTGGGAGGTGGGGGGCACTAGAGATGCAGGTGAACCCAGGACCATCCCCATCTCCCACCTGGAGATCCCTGGAGGTCTGGGGAGTGGGCAGGGCTCCACCACTCCCACCTTGGCCGGTGGTGGGGAAGGAAGGAGTGTCACCAATGTTCCAGGACATGTCCCCCGAGATTCTCCCTATGGAGCCAGGAGGCCAGGCAGGGCCAGAAGTGTGGGCTCCGGGCTGGGGTGGGCGGTGGGTGAGCACAGGAGGCTCTGGGGGGTGGGGGTGGGGTGGGGGCCAGGGATGTAGCTGGAGTTGCGTTATTGACACATGCCCCAGCATGGGGTGTGCTGTGGGCTGAATCCACAGAGGTGAGGCAGGAGTGAGGGAGGTGGGGAGAGGAGGCAGGTGGAGATGAGTGAGGGGTTAGGTGAGGTGGGGCTGACCCCAGGCCAGGACAGGGACCTCTTCCCAGAGCCTCCCCCACCCCGGCTCACCCTGCCCCGCCCCGCCCCTACCAGGCCCCCAGCGGGATGCGCAGGCTGCCCGGGAGTTCATCCTGAAGATGTTCGTGGACCTAAACCCCGACAGTGACAAGATCATCTACTCTCACTTCACCTGCGCCACCGACACAGAGAACATCCGTTTTGTCTTCGCCGCTGTCAAGGACACCATCCTGCAGCTCAACCTGAAGGAGTACAACCTGGTGTGACCGGGACTCCGCCAGCTGCCCGCCGGTCGCCAGCCGCCCCACGAGTCGGGGTTTCATATTTTTAAACAAATGGTTTTTATTTCACAGTTATCAGGGGACGTACACCTCTCTTCCTACACACCTCGTGCACCTTCTCGTCTTTGTCAGTGGCAGAGGCCGCCTTTTTCTGGCCTTGACTTGTGGCTTGCTTTTTTCTAAAAAAAAAAAAAAAAACAAAAGGAAAAATAAAAAAAAAGAGAGAACCCACAGCAGACAGGCAGAGAGGAGACCCGGCACCAGCGGCGCCGGGTCACAGGACACAGCCGGTTTCCCCTTGATCTCGGAGCCGCGGAGACGCAGTGGCGGGGCTTCTCTTTCTTCCCGTGTTAAGTTATTGACACCCTCACCACGGTCGCTGTATTTCTGCGCTGGACTCCAAGAAGTGGGGGTGGGTGGCGCCCCCCGCTGCCCGCCCTGGGAAGTGCCTAACCATTTTTTTTTTTTTTTTTTTGAGGAAACAAAACTGCAGCCCAGGGCCTCTGGCAGTCCTGCCTTTGGTGGGAGCCCGGGGGTGGGAGCCCAGGTGCGTCAGGTTCTCTGGGCAGGGTTGCGGGGAGGGGGCCTTCCAGCATCTGCGCTCCCCCTGGGAGTGCTCCTGGGCTCCAACTCCAACTCCGACACCGAGGGGCCCACAGGGACCCGAGTGGCTCTATTTTGTTGTATTTTGTAGCCATTTCGGGAACAGTGGGTGTGCGGTGGGGACTTTTTCAGAATCTTCTCAGGTCTGTCCCCGGGAGGCAGAGAGAGAGGGAGGGTCGCCCTGGCAGGTCCATGGCCGTTGGGGCGGTGCCCACCGCCCTGCACGTTGCCCAGAACCAAGACCTCGGGCTTGTGGCAGCCGGAGGTGGGCCCTCAGCCTGGTCACGGCCACGGCCACGGCCAGGCACAGAGGCACCTCCCAGAGGGCCTGTTTCTGGGGGAAGGCATGGACCAAGGGCTGTGGTGATTGGTTTTGTGTGCTTGGCTTCTTGCACCAAGGTGCGGAGAGTGGCCCACCGGTGGGGCTCACACCTGCCCAGTGCACCTGGGCCCTAAACCTGAGCACTGGGGCGGCCTTGGATCCCTGCAGAGAAATGATGGGAGAAGGCAAACTAGCTCCACCCCCACCGCTGCGGCCCACCCCCACCCCTGCATTCCTGATTGGGCGGACCCGGGGTGGGGTGGGGGGCACACTTCCTGGCCTGTTCTCCCCTAGCGTCTTCACCGGAACGGCCCTCTTTTGTGCCATGTGTCCACGTGTGGGGTTTGTACCCTAACCGTGATGTGTACCTGGGGGACTGGTGGTGCGGCTGGCAGCGGGCTCCTGCGGTCCCACATCACACAGGGAACTGGATCAGACTCTTGAGGGGGAGGCGGGGTGGGTGACGTGCACCCAGAGTATTAACTTCCCGAGAGGTCAGCGTGCCAATATCCCAGGGCAGGCCCGGCCCCGCAGTGCCAAACCTCCCCGTCCGGCCCGCTGGGACCCCGCCAACTTGGCCCCACCTCAGCGCCGGGAGAATGGGGTGGCAGGGTTCAGGCCCTCCTCGCCCCCAGTGTGAACTTCACCTCGGCGGCGCATCCCTGAGTGCCAGCTCCCACCCCCACCATGTCACATCACCCAGCAGAACTGCCCTCCGAGTGCCAACGCCCCAGCGGCGTGAGGAGCCCTGCGGCCGGCGGGGGCGACCTCGCCTGCTTGTATATTAAACAATCCTGATTTCAGACAATTTAAACCTTAATCTATTTAAAAAAGAATATTATATAAAGATGCTGTTTTTAAACCTTTTGTCATTTGAAATGCATGTATCTTCCGTGCGGGCTGAGGGGCGGGTGGTCAGCTCAGTGCCGGCCTTGCGGGGCTGCTGGAGCCACCCATGTCCAGGCAGTGCGTCCGCACTGGGGCCCTGACCCCTTAACCCAGAGAGAGCTGGTGGAAATTGACTTTTCATACCTTTCTCCTGAAATGAATTCTGTTTTAAATTGGAATAAATTTTGTTCCTAAACACGCGGCCCCCCTCTGGCTTATTTCCTGTTGCTGGCTGAGGGCGGGGGCAGCAGAGGAGCCCTGAGGTCCCCAGGGTGTCACCGGATCCCATGCGGCTGGGAGGAGTCTTGTCGCCTTCAGGTTGGGGTCTCAGCTCAGGGGAACCACAGCCTGGCTGCCTGGGGTGTGCCTCCTTCCCTGGGCCCAGCTGGCCATTCACTCTCACGGATGCTCTTGGAAATATGTGCTCTTCCCCTAACCCAGTTGTGTAAACCAAGATGTTGGACCAGTAATCTTCCTAGCTCTCAGTCTTTTTTTGCTTTAAAAATTAAAAAAAATACATATACTGTGGTAAATACACATACAACTTACCATCTTTACAATTTTTTAAATCAGATTTTATTTGTGTTCCAATGGGTCATTAGCAATAGGTCTTGTTATGAGGTCAGGTCATGCATGCATGCCCAGTGTGTTGACTCTGCAACCCTATGGACTGTAGACCACCAGGCTCCTCTGTCCATGGGGTTTTCCAGGCAAGAATACTGGAGTGGGTTGCCATTTCCTCCTCTAGGGGATCTTTCTGACCCAGGGATTGAAACTGCATCTCCTGTATTGGCAGGCAGATTCTTTACTACCAAGCTACCTGGGAAGTCCCTCTTCACCATGTTTAAATGTAGAATTCAGTGACATTGGTTTCATTCACAATGTGCAACCACCAGCACTAACGGTTACTTTAAACAGAAAGTCCGTCCCTGTTAAGCAGTAACTCCCCACCTCTTCCACAGCCCCAGGCCCCCCCCCCACCACATTTTCTATGGAGTCTATCTATAGGGATCTGTGAGTGGAATCAGACTTTGTCCTTCTGTGTATAGCTTCCCTCACTGAACATCATGTCCTCCAGGTTCATTCATGATGTAGCAGGTGTCAGAACCTCCTTCCTTTTTAAGGCTGAATCATTCCAATGCTGTGGACGGACCACACTGTGTTTATCCATCATCTGTCTGTCAGTGGAGACTAGGCATACTTCCGCCTTCTGGCTGCCATGAATCATGCCTCTGGGAACACCGGTGTGCAGGCACCTCTTCAAGACGGCTTTCCATTTTACTGGGTGTAAAGAGAAGTGGAACTGCTGGGTCACACCGTGATGCTACAGTCAACCATTTGAGGAACCACCAGACTGTTTCCACAGCAGCTACCTTATTTTCATGTTCCCACCAGCCGTTCACCCGGTTCCCACTTCTCCACAAGGTCCTCCAGTTTTATTTACTCACTCATCAGCGGAATGGAAATGCCCTGAAGAACTGTGTGTGCCAGGCACTGTCCTGGACACTGCGTATACAGGGAGGAGAACAGCATTTATCACCACGACTCAATCTGTGAACAAACAGCCGGGAAAAGAGGCATGGGGAGCAACAGTGGCCATTTCAGACAGGCTCTTGAGGAAAGGCCTCTCTGAGAAGGTGGCATATGAATAACCTGCTGGAAGATGTGAAGGGATCTGCTCTGGGCTTAGCTGCTCAGTGTGTCCGACTCTTTGCGACCCCGTGGACTGTAGCCCGCCAGGCTCCTCTGTCCACGGGATTCTCCAGGCCAGAATACTGGAGTGGGATGCCGCGTCCTTCTCCAGGGGATCTTCCCAACCCCGGGATTGAACCCAAGTCTCCCACATTGCAGGTGGATTCTTTACCGTCTGAGCCACCAGGGAAGCCCCGGAATACTGGAGTATTCCTTTTCCAGGGGAAAAGCCTATCCCTTTTCCGGGGGAACTTCCTGACCCAGGAATCGAGGGAGGTGGGACCCTGGAGGGCTGTGGGCAGAGGAGGGGCGGGGCCTGACTCAGTGCTCAGGCGCGCCCTCTGGTGGCTATTGCGCAGAGGAGAGACAGGGGATGAGGGCGGAACCCGGAACTTGGATGGAGGGGACCGCTCTAGACCAGGCAGGACAGGATGGAGGCAGAGGAAAGGAGTGGGATTTGGGAGGTGGGGGCGGGGAGGGGGCCCTCAGACGCGGCCGGCGCACCTGGCTGCCATGCCTTCCTCCGCCGGCAGGTGCCGCTCGCCGGCTTTCCGCGCCCGCCAGCCCGCCACCTGCGGGCTCCAACGCGCACCTGCCGGGAATGTTCTCTCCGCATCCCCGTTCCAACAGGGAAACTGAGCAACTGGGCCCTTGCCCTAACGGCAGGCGGTGCCCCTGGACCCGGGCACTAGCCACGACCCGGTGCAAAGTGAAAACGCAGGGTCCGTACAATACCAGGAGGCTTTCAAGACGGAAAATCTTTGGACCACCCAAATTTGGACCACCCAAGTGGCCAGGGAGGGGTTCCGGGTGCTTTGGCTGTGGTGAATCCCGCTGCTGTAGACTTGGGTAACAAGAACCTGGTGCAGACCCTGCTTTGGATACATCCGCAGAAGTGGAATCAAATCTGTGATTCATCAGCTAATAAAGGGAGAGGGCGGGCCTTTGTAGCCCAGGCTTTGGGACAACGCTGGTGGGGGAGGTGTGTGTGGCCAACGCAATGGCCAGGGAGGGACCCCGCTGTCGTCTCCCATCACCTGAGGAGCGCCAGGTACTTTGAAGCTATGTAAACATCCTATTCCTCATTAAACAGTAAGGACTTATTTTTAAGATTTTTTTCTGGGGGGAGGGATGCAGACCATTTTTAAAATCTTTATAGAATTTGTTACAATATTGCTTCTGTTTTCTGGTTTTTGGCCAGGAGGCATGTGGGATCTTAGCTCCCCGGCCAAGGATCAAACCTGCACCCCCTCCACTGGAACGCAAAATCTTGACCACTAGACTTCTAGAAAAGGACATTTTTAATATGGAACAAATAACACTTGAAAGGAGTGACTCATTTCTAAAGAAAGAAGAGACTATGCATTTGTAGCATTAGTACACAGTATTATTAGTATTATTGATCCCCATACATCTACAATTCTTCCATGATACTTAAAGCAAATGGAAACTCTTATTGGTCACTATGATGATTTGAATA